TAGTGTTTGGTGTTATTGATTTCTACCTCTTGACACCCCTCTCAACCCCTTTCTTCTCACCCCTTAGGCCCTCACACTGCTGGCGATCTGCATGCTGCTGACTGCAGTGGGCGGGGTACTGTACAAGGCAGCAGCCGTGGCGTCCAATGATGACCTGCCACTTGGCGAGTCCGTGTGGGTGTCGTGGACGTTTGTGTCCAACCCCAGCGAGCATGTCAATGAGGTGAGCGGCCCCCTCCTCCCCCCTCTCTCCCCCCAACCACACACACAGAGAGGGTGAGAGAGCAGGTGAGTTAGCTAGGTGGTTACGAGTCCGTGTGGGTGTCGTGGGCGTTTGTGTCCGACCCCAGCGAGCATGTCAATGAGGTGAGTGGGCAGCAGAGGGAGAGGGTGATATAGGTGAGAGAGCAGGCGAAGGAGTTGGGGCCAAAGCCAACCCAACCCACACACGGGCGAGGTATGCAAAGAGTGCAAGTGCTTGCTTGAGGTTTGTTGAAGCCCAGCCCAGCAAGCTCGTCAACGAGGTGGGTGGGTGGGCAACAGAGAGAGGCACAGGCGAAGGAGTTTGGGCCAACCCAACCCACACAGAGACAGACAGAGAGCACGCGACCAGGTGAGGTGAGGTGCGATAAGCAGCGAGTGCAAGTGCTTTCTATGATGAGCTTTGTAAAATGGCTATGGCCTTTGAATTGTTGTTACAGGGGAGGGTGGAGGGCACACACGTGCTGTGGAAGGGTGGCGAGTGCAGAAGGGAGGAGGGAGTGTGTGCAGGAAAGACGACTTGTCGGTTGAGTCGACTTGTCTTGCAAGAGTTTTTTTATTTTATTTTTTTCTTGTGTATCACTCTAATGTATTGCTTGCTACTTCTTTCCCCTCGCTTTTCTTCTCACCCACCCTCCACCTCAATACCGCTGCCGCTCCACCCTATACAGGGGCATATGAGTCGAGTTCTTACTCGACTCGTTTTGTTTTGAGTCGACTCAAACCTTTTTTTAGCCTTGTTTTGAGTCCACTAAAAAAACTGCCGCTCCACCATATACAGGGGCATACAAGTCGAGTTCTTACTCGACTCGTTTCAGTGATTCGTTGCCCATGCATTGCCCTAACCCCTTGTCTGCCAATCCCACACAGGTTGTTGCATTTTCACCCCACCTCCCTCCCCTTTTCCCCGACTCCCTCCTGTTAATGTTAGCCCTCAATCTCACATTTGTACTTGTACTTTTTATATCCTAACTCAGTGTAGTTTGCACTTTGTGTTTGGTTGGGTGTACACCCACATCCCAACCAAACCCAAATGTAATCTCCAAGCAATCTCCAACCCACCAATTGGAGATTGCCTTAGGATTACCCCCAATCCCCTAGGATTGCCCCTGATTCTCTCCCCACCCTTACCTTGCCCATTTCCAATGTACTTAAAGAGCCTTGAGCTCATTACTAAAGCATGGATTGTAAGCTCAAGTTCTGACATGGTATCAGAGCGATTCAACCGCACACGCGTATCATGATCCTCTTATCTCAACGGGCTTTTGTCCCGCTTTCTTCGGCATAGCCACCATCAATCCCGTCGCCGGTGATTCGCGACTTCTTTGGCCGGAAATTATCCCGCGCCACTCTCCCTTCCTTCTCGACGACTTCACAACTTCTCTGGTAAGCGCATCGTTGGCGCTTTAAATCACACTTTTCTTGTCAATCGTCTTCACTCCATTTCTTCTCGTCGGGCCGCCGCCCGTCGCCCTGCAACTTCTCGTCGGGCCACCGCGCGTCGCCGTGCATCTTCTCGTCGGGCTGCCGCCCGCCGCCCCGCAACGGCACTCCGCAGCTGAACAGGTGCAGCCGCGCAGCTGAGCAGCCGTGTAGCAGCGAAGCTGAGCAGCAGCGTAGCCGCGAAGCTGAGGGTGGTGTGTGGGGGGGTGTGTGGGAATATAGTTAGCTACCGAAATCGGCCGATTTGACCTACTTTCATCGGCCTTAAAATTCCTACTACGAGACATTCCGAAGCGGCAGACACCTTGAAGCTTTTCGCTCTTCTCATCCCTCGGATTTTTCCTTCGGAAACCATAAACCTCACAATTCTCTTTCGTAAACCCAAAACCCCAAGTTCTTCAAATTCTCCTTCGGAAACCCTAAACCTCAAGTTCCTCGGTGACTCAAGAACGACTTTTCACGTGATACCTAAAGGGTTCTTCGCCATGGCCTTCGCCTCGGCCACTCTCGCCAACCACATCACCCCGCTCCGCCTTGAAGCCGACGGCACTAGCTCCAACTTCAAGGCATGGAGCTACGGGGTTGTCAAGCTCCTCCTGAGTCGTGAAGTGGGTGGACTTGACCTCAAGGACGTTCTTCTCAATCATGGCAAGAGAAAACAACCCCCATTCCCGCAGCAGAACGGCATAGCAGAAAGCTGCAATCACACACTGACGCAGATCACTCGCTGCCTCCTCAGCCACTCCAACGCACCACTCTCACTCTGGGGGTATGCCCTCTATCTTGCCGCCCTCCTCTACAACCTCTATCCCCACCCGCATCTTCCCGACACCACTCCTACCACACTCTGGCTTGGGAAAACACCCACTGCTCGCCCCCTTCGCGTCTGGGGGTGCACCGCCTATGTACTCCTCAACCCCAAGGCTCGACGGCGGCAAGGTGGCAAGCTTGGTCCCAAAACTCAAACGTGCATATACCTTGGGCATAACGCTGACTCCCCTGACTACCTCTTCCTCAACCCCTCCACTCAACAACTCGTCCGAAGCCGAGATGTCGTCTTTGATAAGACTCGCCCCTTCTACTCCGCCTCGGGGGGAGATCCCCCCTCCGGACCACCCTCTCTTGTGTGGGCTGACTTTGATGCGCCTTCTGAACCTCCGCCTGCACCAACCCCCTCACCTCCTGCCTCTCCTGCCATCGCACCATCCCCGTCTGCGGTCTCTAACCCGACCTCTCCGGTGTCCTCGGCAGCTGCTCCTCCATCTCCCCCTTCTACCACTCTGCCAACTGCGCCCTCACCACCAAGCGCACCAATCACATACCATCAGCGGTCGAACCCTCCCGCCCCCCCTCCTCCCTTCGTTCCCTCCTCCACTCAGGAACCTGCTCTCCCACAGCCGAGCAAACTAATCACGTACCAACGCCGGCCGATCCCTCCCCCCAAGCCCCCTAAGCCGTCCCCTCCAGGAACGCCTGCTCCACCCTCTTCTCCGGTGGCTCATGGCACTCGGTCGCATGGGGCTGCTCCTCCACTGGCACTTGCCATTCGATGCTCAGTGATCACTCCGACTCCTCCTGCTGGGGGGGATGTGCCCTCTACCCTTCTGGAAGACAGGCATGAGGAGCTATGTGATCTCCACGCTGTCATTCCTTAGCTTTCGCACATCTTTCCCGATATCACTGAATCCCCCTCGCTCAACTTCTCGGAGAACCCGGCCATTCCTATCCCCCTCACCGTTCAAGAGGCTCTTTCGGGTCCCCATGCTGCCGAGTGGTGTGCTGCCATGGAAGCTGAGTGTGAAGCCTTCACTCGCAACCACTCCTTTGACAATGAAACTCCACCTCCAGGAGTTAACATCGTTGGGGGCAAGTGGCTGTTTCGAGTGAAGCAGCTTCCGGACGAGGCACCCGTGTTCAAAGCACGCTATGTGGCCAAGGGATTCACTCAGCAGCAGTACTTTGACTTCTTCAAAACCTTCTCTCCCACATCCAAACCACCCACAGTTCGCATGATCTTGGATGTAGCCGCACGAGACGACTCTGAGATCAAATCGATGGACGCCTCTTCGGCTTTCCTGCAAGGACATCTCAAGGAGACTGTGTTCATGGACCGACCTGAAGGCTTTCCGGGAGAGTTCCCTCCCAACACTGTCTGGAAGCTGAATCGCCCGGTGTACAGCCTCAAGCAAGCCCCTCGTGAATGGCACAACAAAGTGAAAGAAGTTCTTCTCTCGCTGGACTTTCACCCATCATCTGCTGACCCGACTCTCTTCATTCGCCGTCACTCTGAGCCATTCTACATCCTTGTCTAGGTCGATGACTTCATCCTCGTTGCCAAGGACTCGGCCCAGATGACCTCCGTCTAGGCGGCCCTAAGCAAGGCCCTCCTAATGAAAGACCTCGGTGACCTCAAACACTACCTGGGAATGGAGATTACTCGCGATCGCCAGGCTCGCACCATCTCACTCTCCCAGGAGTTCTACATCAACAATGTACTCAAGCGCTTTGAGATGGAGTTGTGCACACCTATGGCCACCCCGCTGCCACTACAGCACCTCCTCACCGCTCTAGCTGTCCCCACACCAGAGGCCTGCACTGAGCCATACCCAGAGCTTGTTGGGTCCCTCATGTACGCCATGATGTGCACCCGGCCTGATCTGGCATACCCTGTCAACGTCCTCTCTCGATATGTGGCTCCTGGACGTTTCACTGACCTTCACTGGAAAGCGGCAAAGCGGGTGCTGCGCTATCTGCAGGGAACCAAGTCTCATGTCCTCACCCTTGGTGGGGTTTTTCCTCCTCGACTGGAAGGGTATACCGACTCCTCCTGGGCTGATGACCAGACCGACCGACGCTCCTCCCAAGGCTACTACTTCACTCTTGGAAGCGGAATTGTTAGCTGGCGCTCCACCTGGTCGCCTGCAGTCTCCCTCTCACCCTGTGAGGCAGAGCTCTATGCTGGCACCATGGCGGCTCAGGAGGCCCGCTAGCTCACCTTCCTACTCCAGGAGCTTGGCTACCCTCAGCCCACTCCCACCCTCTGGTGTGACAACAAGAGCACCATCCACCTCTCCCAGGATCCCGTATACCACACTCGCACCAAGCACATCGAACTTCGGCACTTCTTCATCCGTGACCTTGTCCAGCGGGAGCAGCTCAATGTGGAGTGTGTGACCTCTGACTGCAACTTGGCTGATCTGTTCACCAAGCCCCTTGGGAAGGTTCCTCACCATCGCCTTCTAGGCACCATGGGGCTCTGCGCTCCACCTTCTCTGCCATGACTTCGATTGACGCCTATGGGGGGGTGTTTAAGTTAGCCCTCAATCTCACATTTGTACTTGTACTTTTTATATCCTAGCTCAGTGTAGTTTGCACTTTGTGTTTGGTTGGGTGTACACCCACATCCCAACCAAACCCAAATGTGATCTCCAAGCAATCTCCAACCCACCAATTGGAGATTGCCTTGGGATTACCCCCAATCCCCTAGGATTGCCCCTGATTCTCTCCCCACCCTTACCTTGCCCATTTCCAATGTACTTAAAAGAGCCTTGAGCTCATTACTAAAGCATGGATTCTAAGCTCAAGTTCTGACACCTCCCACCACCCCCTACCCTTTTCCCCCTTGCAATGAAACCACCACACCACAGGCCTCGGGGCCAAAGCGTGTGGTGAGCGCAGTGGTGTCGGTGGGCGGAATGCTCTTTTTTGTGTTGCTGGTGGGTCCGGAAACGGACCTGGTGGACAACCCCCTTGCTCCAACCCTCTCCCCCCTTATTTCACACCTCCACCACCGCCCTCTCGTCCCTTTTCCCCTCTTCTACAGGCCTCGGGGCCAAAGCGTGTGGTGAGCGCGGTGGTGTCGGTGGGGGGGATGCTTTTCTTTGCGTTGCTGGTGGGTCTGGCAACGGATCTGGTGGCGAGCAAGGTTGATCAGCTGGAGCAGGGCAACGGAGCGGTCATCGAGAGCAACCACACTCTCGTGTGTGGTGAGTTGATGAAGGGATAGGTGTAGCGAGCGAGTGTGAGTGTGGAGTGGAGAGTGTTTCTGCGTGCAGCCCACAGTGCGCCTCAAGGGAGGGTGTCTGGCAACGGACCTGGTGGCGAGCAAGGTGGATCAGCTGGAGCATGGCAACGGGGCGGTCATCGAGAGCAACCACACCCTTGTGTGCGGTGAGTCAGAAATGGTGCTTCGCCTGAGAATCCTTTTCTTCCCTTCTAACTCCCCACCCTGCTCCCATCCCACTCCTTATCCGCCCCACCGCCACCGGTGGTGGAGCTGGCAAATGCTTGACTCAACTCTGTTCCCTCTTTCTTCCCCTGTTTCCCGTCATGAGTCATGACCATCCCTCCCTCCCGCCTGCAGGCTGGACCCCCAAGACCATTCCCCTGGTGAAAGCGCTGGTGGAAGCTGGAGAGCGTTTGAACGACCTCTGTTTCCTCCTGTTGCCCCAATCCCAATCCTCATCCCCACCTCCCCTCCAGGCTGGACCCCCAAGACCATTCCCCTGGTGAAAGCGCTGGTGGAAGCGGGGAAGCGCTTGAGTCGACCCTTTCTCCTCGTTGCTCCGTGTTTCTAAACCCTCCCTCCCTCCTTCTGTCTTGACTGCTCAGGCTGGACCCCCAAGACCATTCCCCTGGTGAAGGCTCTGGTGGGAGCGGGGGAGCGCTTGAGTCGACCCTTTCTCCTCGTTGCTCCGTGTTTCTAAACCCTCCCTCCCTCCTCCTTCTGTCTTGACTGCTCAGGCTGGACCCCCAAGACCATTCCTCCGGTGAAGGCTCTGGTGGGAGAGGGGAAGCGGCCGTCAGTGGTGGTGGTATTCCGATTTCTGATTACTTCCCCCCCTGCCCACCCCCTTCCCTGCAGGCTGGACCCTCAAGACCATTCCCCTAGTGAAGGCTCTGGTGGAAGTGGGGGAAGAGTATGAGTGGATTCAAAACTTAATCAAATTATCTGCTCTTTACTCCTCTGCTCTAAAACCCAAAACCCCAAACCCTGACTGCTTAGGCTGGACCCCCAAGACCATTCCCCTGGTGAAGGCGCTGGTGGAAGCGGGGGAGCAGTCGTCAGTGTTGGTGGTTCTGGCAGGAAGGCAGATGCTTGAGTCACCTCAAGAATAATCTCTGTTCCCTCTCTCTTCCCCTATTCGCCTTTACGCTCCTTCTCTCCCTTTCAGGCTGGACCCCCAAGACCATTCCCCTGGTGAAGGCTCTGGTGGAAGCGGGGGAGCGGCCGTCAGTGGTGGTGCTGGCAGAGAGGGAGAGTGTGGATATGGATGGAGACTTGCTGGAGGCTGTACCGGTTGAAGAGCGAGGAGGGATGCGGGTGAGTGATTGAGCGAGGGAGGTAGGGGGTGAGTGAGTGAGGGAGTGAGTGAGTCAAGGAGTGAGGGGGCGAGGGCGAGAGATGAATGGAGAACTGCTGGAGGCTGTATTGATTGAAGAGCGAGGAGGGATGAGGGCGAGTGAGAAAGGGAGTGAGGTAAGGAGTGAGGGAGTGAGTGGGTCAAGGAGAAAGGTGGTGAGGGAACGAGGGAGTGAAAGGGCAGGCAGTGGCCGTCAGTGGTGGTGCTGGCAGAGAGGGAGAGTGTGGATATGGATGGAGAACTGCTGGAGGCTGTACCCATTGAAGAGCGAGGAGTGATGAGGGTGAGTGAGTGAGGGAGGGGGGGAGGGAGGGAGGGAGGGAGGGAGGGAGGGAGGGAGGGAGGGAGGGAGGGAGGGAGGGAGGGAGGGAGGGAGGGAGGGAGGGAGGGAGGGAGGGACCGCCTCCATCCCCTTACCCCCATCTGTTTTGGTTTTCTCACCTCAGTTCAGCAGTCTCCCTCCCTTCCTTCAGGCGATGACTCGCCGAGGCGATCCCCTGAAAGCAGCAGACCTCAACCGCTGCTCCGCCTCACAAGCAGCCCCTGTTACTCTCTTGGTTCCTACCCCTTCTCACTCCCAACCATCCCTTGTCCATCCCTCCCTCCCCACCTCCTCTCACTCCTCTCACCAGGCCATGACACGCCGCAGCGACCCCCTGAAAGCCGCCGGCCTCAATCGTTTCTCCGTCTCCCAGGCAGCCTCCATCGTCATCCTCTCGCCCCAGCTGCTCCGCCTCAGTGCCCCATCTCTTCTTCTTACCCGCATCTTTCTTACACCAGGTCATGACTCGTCGTGGTGACCCCCTGAAGGCAGCCGATCTCAACCGCTGCCCTGCCTCCCAGGCTGCCTCCATCGTCATCCTCTCGCCCCAGCTGCTCCGCCTCAGTGCCCCATCTCTTCTTCTTACCCGCATCTTTCTTACACCAGGTCATGACTCGTCGCAGTGATCCCCTGAAAGCAGCCGATCTCAACCGCTGCTCTGCCTCCCAGGCAGCCTCCATCGTCATCCTCTCGCCCCAGCTGCTCCGCCTCAGTGCCCCATCTCTTCTTCTTACCCGCATCTTTCTTACACCAGGTCATGACTCGTCGTGGTGACCCCCTGAAGGCAGCCGATCTCAACCGCTGCCCTGCCTCCCAGGCTGCCTCCATCGTCATCCTCTCGCCCCAGCTGCTCCGCCTCAGTGCCCCATCTCTTCTTCTTACCCGCATCTTTCTTACACCAGGTCATGACTCGTCGCGGTGACCCCCTGAAGGCAGCCGATCTCAACCGCTGCCCTGCCTCGCAGGCCGCCTCCATAGTCATTCTCTCGCCCCAGCTGGCCCTGACAGCTTCTGCTTATTGAACCTCGTTCCTCCCTCCTCTCTTTCAGGTCATGACTCGTCGCGGTGATCCCCTGAAAGCAGCCGATCTTAACCGCTGCTCCACCTCACAAGCAGCCGATCTCAACCGCTGCTCCGCCTCACAAGCAGCCGATCTCAACCGCTGCTCCGCCTCACAAGCAGCCGATCTCAACCGCTGCTCCGCCTCACAAGCAGCCGATCTCAACCGCTGCTCTGCCTCCCAGGCTGCCTCCATCGTCATCCTCTCGCCCCAGCTGCCCTCCCTCTTGTGCTCATTGCACGTTGCTTCTCCCTCCCCTTTTTCAGGTCATGACTCGTCGTGGTGACCCCTTGAAAGCAGCTGATCTCAACCGCTGCTCTGCCTCCCAGGCCGCCTCCATTGTCATTCTCTCGCCGCAGCTACCGTCGCGTCAGCAGGCGGATGCTCAGGTGAAAACAACAGACGGTCAGGTCAGGTGAAAGCAACAGACAGTCAGGTCAGGTGCAAACAACAGACGGTCAGGTCCTTAGTGGGAATATACGCTCAGAACCTAAAGCGTATAGCGTATATACGCTTCACGCAAAACGCTATACGCTAGCTAATACGCTATACGCTTTCAGAATTTTTTAGGGGTTGCCCAGGAAAAAAAATCGTGTGTTCACGGAAAGATGCGGAATCTCCTGGTGAGCATTTCGCCGAAGTCGAGGTTCAATTCGGGGTCGTAGGGAAGCGGGAATGTGCCTTACAATTGCGTCTGGCAGTTCAGATCTACAATTCTGATTGGTACCGCATTGAAATCCATCCCATCTACGAACTCCAACCTGTCAAATCGTTCCCCCAACAAACCCCACTCACGCTACTAACCAGCCAGCCCAACTGCACTCCACATTTCCCGCTTCCCAACAGAGCTCATCCCGATTCCTACTTTTCCTTCTAGCGATAGTGTCTACTACACATCCCACCCTAATTGAAGTTCAGACTTAGGAGAATGCTACGAAATTCTTAGTGAGAATATGGAATACCTTCCCGATGTTAAGCACGACATTGTTTTTCACCCTGCCCGGGAAATTTTTTCCCTGCCCGAAAAAGCGGATTCCCAAAGCCGACCCTTCGGCGTTTAGCGTATATACGTTAGCGTATATACGATACGCGTATATACGCTATACGCATATATTCCCACTAAGGTCAGGTCAGGTGCAAACAACAGACGGTCAGGTCAGGTGCAAACTACAGACGGTCAGGTCAGGTGCAAACAACAGACGGTCAGGTCAGGTACAAACAACAGACGGTCAGGTCAGGTGCAAGCAACAGACGTTCAAGTGACAAGCTTGGGTTCAAGCCTTAGGATTGTAGACTGTTGTTGGTCAAGTCAGGGTAAGTGGTCAACACTCTGTTGTAGAAAGAGACGATTTTTTAGGTGCCTAAAAAAAAAGAAAAAGATGTTGACTCTGACTGAGCGATGCCAAGTTAACATGCTCGTTGCTCCTTGCTCATTGCTGCCCAATGCTCGTCGCTCAAGCCCTAAATGCTCAATCAATGCTCCCTCCTCCATATTTCACGTCACACACACCAGGTGCTCCAAACCGCCATGGTGCTTGATGCTCAATGCTCAATGCTCACTGCTTGATGCTCATTGCTCAATGCTCACTGCTCAATGCTCACTCCTCCATGTTCCATGTTCCACGCCACACACACCAGGTGCTGCAAACCGCCATGGCTCTGGCCGTGCTTCCTGAAATCCAGGGTGACGTGGTTGCTGAGCTGGCATGCCCCGAGAACACAATGCTGCTGGGGAAACTGCATGCGAGTCTCATGATGCGATTGGATAAGGCCAGACAGAAGCACATGCTGGGGTGAGTGAGTGAGTTGATGGGTTGTCTGGTTAGGCTTTCCGAGAGTACCCCTCACTTGGCTTGTCCATCCCAAGAGCATGAACACGATGCTGCTGGGGAAGCTGGGGTTAGTGGATGGGGTGGGTGGGATAGCTTGTTTTGCAATGTGATCTCACACCTGACTTGGCTTTGTCCTGCCCGAGAACACGATGCTGCTGGGGAAGCTGCACGCGAGCCTGATGAAGCGATTGGATAAGGCTAGGTAGCAGCACATGCTAGGGTGAGTGGATGGGGTGGGTGGGATAGCTTGTTTTGCAATGTGATCTCACACCTGACTTGGCTTTGTCCTGCCCGAGAACACGATGCTGCTGGGGAAGCTGCACGCGAGCTTGATGAAGCGATTGGATAAGGCTAGGTAGCAGCACATGCTAGGGTGAGTGGATGGGGTGGGTGGGATAGCTTGTTTTGCAATGTGATCTCACACCTGACTTGGCTTTGTCCTGCCTGAGAACACGATGCTGCTGGGGAAGCTGCATGCGAGTCTGATGAAGCGATTGGATAAGGCGAGGCAGCAGCACATGCTGGGGTGCGTGAGTGGATGGGTGGGTTGGGATTATATTATCCGCTGTGAGTGAGCGGCACAAGTAGTACACACCTGTCCTGGCTTGTCCTTCCCGAGAACACGATGCTGCTGGGGAAGCTGCATGCGAGCCTGATGAAGCGATTGGATAAGGCCAGGCAGCAGCACATGCTGGGGTGAGTGAGTTGATGGAATGACTGTTTAGGCAGTCTTAGGCTACAGTTGATGTCCCAACCTGAGGGCGTTACTACGGCTGCTGGGGAAACTTCATGCAAGCCTGATGAAGCGATTGGACAAGGCCAGGCAGCAGCATATGCTGGGATGCTCATGGCTTGACATCCTCATCCTCATCCTCATCCTCATCCTCATCCTCATCCACATCCTCATCCTCATCCTCATCCTCATCCTCATCCACATCCTCATCCTCATCCTCATCCTCATCCTCATCCACATCCTCATCCTCATCCTCATCCTCATCCACATCCTCATCCCCATCCTCATCCTCATCCTCATCCTCATCCTCATCCTCATCCACATCCTCATCCTCATCCTCATCCTCATCCTCATCCACATCCTCATCCTCATCCTCATCCACATCCTCATCCTCATCCTCATCCTCATCCTCATCCACATCCTCATCCTCATCCTCATCCTCATCCACATCCTCATCCTCATCCTCATCCCCATCCCTCTGCAGGTCATCATCATCATCTAAGACTGCCTGCCTTGTTACCCATGCCGGGTCAGCAGCAACTGCCATTGCCACTGCACCATCTCCTTCCCCACACTCACTGGTCTTTCCATCCCCATCCCCATCCCCGTCGTCATCCCCATCCTCATCCTCATCCTCATCCTCATCCTCATCCTCATCCTCATCCCCGTCGTCATCCCCATCCCTCTGCAGGTCATCATCATCCGAGACTGCCTGCCTTGTTACCCATGCTGGAACAGCAGCAACTGCCATTGCCACTGCACCATCTCTCTCCGCTGCACTTACCTGACATGCCCTCCCCATCCACATTCCACTGAGGCTGCTCACCAGGTCGCTGTTGCGGGTGGGCGAGCAGCTAATGAAGTCTCCACTTACTCTGCACACCACCCATTCACATCCCCAAACCAATTCATCCCCATCCCCATCCCTGTGCAGGACATCATCTGAGGCTGCTCGCGTGGTCACCCATGCGGGATCAGCAGCCACAGCCATCACCACTGCACCATCTCCCTCCGATGCTGCTACCACTGCTGCCACAACAACCCCCTCCTCTTCCATCCCCACCACCACTGAAAGCACTGCAGCTGCTGCTGTCCCTGCCACTGCCAGCCACGCTTCGCCGCCCGGCCAAGCGAGGGCTGCCTCGCGTGGTTTGTCCTCTTCTGCAGGGCAGAGGCGGCGCAAGCTGGTGCCTGTGGAGACGGGCGGCATGGCTTTAAGAGGGCTGGTGGACCTGGCGCTACAGCCGGCCAGCCATGCTGTGACGGCTGAGCTTCTGGGGTTCCAAGGAGCGGAATTTCACTTCAAGGAATGGTGAGAGAATGAAGGGAGAATAGGGAGAATGGTGAGAGATAAGAACTGGTATGCTACAGCCAGCTGGCTTTGAGGGGGCTGGTGGATCTGGCGCTACAGCCGGCCAGCCATGCGGTGACTGCTGAGCTGCTGGAGTTCCAGGGAGCGGAATTTCACTTCAAGGAATGGTGAGAATGGGGAGAAAAGGGAGAATGGTGACTGGCTGACTGATTGTCCTAGCGCTACAGCCGCACAGCAAATGGTTGCTTGCTTGCTTGGCAGCACAGGTCTCCCCCTTACCCCCACCTCCCATTCCCTCGCTTCCCGACAGGAAGGAGCTTGAGGGTCGCACCTTTGCAGAGGCGGTGTTTATGTTTGAAGACGCTGTGCCGTGCGGGGTGCAGCAGATGGTTGGCTGACCGGTGGTTTGGGTGGCAGCACACAAACGTTTCCCACGACATCCCTCCCCTCCCATTACCCCGCTTCCTGACAGGAAGGAGCTTGAGGGTCGCACCTTTGCAGAGGCGGTGTTTATGTTTGAAGACGCTGTGCCGTGCGGGGTGCAGCAGATGGTTGGCTGACCGGTGGTTTGGGTGGCAGCACACAAACGTTTCCCACGACATCCCTCCCCTCCCATTACCCCGCTTCCCGACAGGAAGGAGCTTGAGGGTCGCACCTTTGCAGAGGCGGTGTTTATGTTTGAAGACGCTGTGCCGTGTGGCGTGCAGCAGATGGTGGGCACAGAGGATGAGCGGACTATCATTAACCCGCCTGGCGACACCGTGATTGAGGTGAGTGTGATTGAATCGAAGGGATGTAGTGTGACTGTAAGGGAGTGAGATTGGTTGGATGAAAGGAGAGTGATGGAAGGGAGTGTGCCGTGTGGGATTGTACGGGGCGTGACGGATTGGATTGTGATTGAAGGGAGTGTGCTGTAGTGGGCATGGAGGATGAGAGGACGCTCATCAACCCTACTAGCTGTATTCCCCCCTTCACACTCTTCCCCACTCCCTCCTCACCCTCCTTTTCCTCACCTCTCGTCCGCGCCACATCAGTCCGGGGACCGTTTGCTGGTCATCGCTGAGTCAGCAGACAGCTACGCGCCACGTAAGCCGACCGCTGAGTCAGCAAAGGAGCGCGAGCTGGCGGAGAAGCGGCTGGCGTCGTTCGCGACGCCGTGGCACTACGACAGCCTGCCACGTGGCAACGTGAGGCGCCGCCACAACGTGCTGATTGCGGGCGAGTGGAGGGATGACGTGGCCGAGGCTCTCCTGCTGCTCAGTTCCAAGCTGGCTCCCCGTGAGTCTCGACTTTCAATACAGTCACACAGGTTTCGAGACTAGGTAGTTAGAAGTTTGAGAGGTTAGGTAGCTTCATTCTCTCCTTATGATGACGTAGCAGAGGCCCTCCTGCTGCTCGGTGCCAAGCCAAGCTGGCTCCCCGAAAGTCTTAACTCGTTCATTCTGTGATAGATACAACATGTAGGTAGGAGCCTACGAGGTCAAGAGGCTAGTAGCTTTATTCTCTCCTCATGGCGTGGCACAGACAGACCCTCCTGCTGCTCGGTGCCAAGCTGGCTCCCCGTGAGTTTCCTTCTTTCAATACAGTCACAGTGCGAGAGTCCCTATCCTATTATTTCGTAACTCGTTCGTTCTGTGATAGATATGACATGTAGGAGGTTAGGATGTTTAATCTCTTTTGGTAACATATGACATGCCAGAGGTTCCCTTTTCCTGCCCACCTTCCCCACACCTTGCCCTTCCCCTCCACACCCTTCCTCCACCCCCCCACTCCCTTCTATTCACCTCTCTGTCCCCCTCTGCCACTCTCTACCCCCCTCTACCCCTGTCTAACCCCTTGTACCCCGTCTTTCGCCAAGCAGGCAGTCAGGTGGCAGTGATGGTCGACTCTCCCTCCCTCTCAGCGGCACAGCAGCGCCTCAACCCCTTTATCAAATCAGGCAGCCTCAACCTCAACCTCTCGCTCTGTGAGTCAGTCGTTCGTTGTGAGAGGGAGGGAGATAGCACAATCCGTGCCCGTTCTCAACCGATTTGTGTGAGTGATAGTGGAAACTTTAACACAAACCCTAGCATGTGTAGTCAAGTCAATTAACCCTTCATCAAATCGATCAACATCAACCCCCTCTGCACACCGGACGAGGGCCACCTGGGCTGCATGGCCGATCTGGAGAGGGTTCCTTCCTCTAGAGGCCTTCGACACTCTCATCGTGCTCGCCTCCCGCTCGCACCACTCCCAATGTGTTCTCCCCCCTCTTCCCCCACCCCCTCCCCAACACGCCAGACCACGGGCACCTGGGCTGCATGGCCGATCTGGAGAGGGTTCCTCTAGAAGCCTTCGACACTGTCATCGTGCTCGCGCCCTGCCTGCTCACCCCACACTTCCCCTTCCACGTTTCTCCCTCCCACCTGTTTCTCTCCCCTCAATTCCAGACCACGGGCACCTGGGATCAATGGCTGATTTGGAAAGGGTTCCTCTAGAGGCCTTCGATACTGTTATCGTGCTTGCCCCTCGCTCGCACCACGCCTCACCCACCGACCAGCCGCAGACGCGGGACGACGAGGGGGGTGCGGAGCGAGGGGAGGGTGGTGGTGGGGGTGGGGGTGAGGGGGGCGAGGGGGTGCTCATGCCGTCTGCTTCTGTCACTGCTATGATGATTCGGACGATTCAGCGGGAGCGGGGACAGGCGGGAGCAACAGTGCTTGCAGAGAGTGATTTTGCGGTGGAGGGAAGGGGAGAGGGAGGGGAGGAGGGCAGGGGAGAGGGGGAGGGGGAAGGGGAGGGAGGGGCGGCGGCAGCGGCGGCGGCAGTGGAAGGGGATATAGTGAAGGAGGTGCAGGGGAGGTGGCTGACTGACAGTATTGATACGAATGCAGTGCACGCGAGGATTCTGGCTCAAACTGCCATGGACCCAGGTGGGTGTGTGGGTGGGTGCTGCTGCTGATGTGTGAATGAAGCCGTGTTGGGAAGGGGGAGGTGGAAGGGGATATGATGGGAGGAGGTGCAGGGGAGATGGCTGACAAAGTGTTGATACGAATGCAGTGCACGCAAGGATTCTGGCTCAGACTGCCATGGACCCAGGTGGGTGCACACAAGTATGTGAGTAAGGACCGCTCATTGCCAATGCACCGTGCAGGGGATGAAGGGAAGGCTGCAGAGTGCTTGTTTTGTTGGGCAAGCCAATACAGACATGCACGCATGCACTCACGCATGCACTCACGCATGCACTCACGCATGCTTGCTGTCCCACCTCCATACCCATGATATCTCGCCACAAAGCTCAAACACCCATGGCAAACCCCATATCCTGCTGTGCCAGATGTCAGCACGCATAATGGACAAGATAGTGGGTGCGTCCTGCTTATGATGCTCAAGTCTTGACTCATATCAAAACGCAAACCCATCCCCTGCTGCGCCAGATGTCGGCGGTGTATTGGACGAGATTGTGAGCGGGGCGGGTTCGTCGCTCACTCTGGAGGATGCCACCTCGTTCCTCGTGGACGGGGAAGCGCTTTCGTTCTTCGACCTGCAGGTATGCTGCTCCTCCTTACTTGCACCCGTCTCAAATGGCACATGGTAGGTCATGCTTCGTTTGCCACCTCGTTCCTCGTGGACGGCGAAGCTCTCTCCTTCTTCGACATCCAGGCGTGCATGTGTGAGGGGGCGTTGTATGCACTCATACATGCACATGCGCACACACGCTCACACTCATGCTAGCACGCACACAGACATACACTCACGTGAACACACGTGTTTGTTTTGTTTTAAAACCTGTGTACGATCCATTGTGTTCCTCTTCGAGAAGTATTCACATTGAAATAACCTCTTCATACAGTATCCCTTCTAGTCATTGTAATCTTTAGATATTTCCTTCATTAAATACAATTACCATGCTTCCTGTCTTCTATGAATTGCAGAGTCGGGTTTTGCGCCGGCGCAAGCTGATGATTGCATACAACTGTGCTAATAACGGGGGCAAGTGGCAGCTGAACCCCCAAGATAAAAACAAGCCGGTGGTGTGGCGAGCTGGTGACCGCTTAGTTGTGCTGTCTTCTTGACATAGCGTCCTCGATTCGGATTGGTTCTTTATAACTGGTTTATTGATCAGGCAGCTCTTTGTGACATGATAACTTATGTGTATAGAAGTATCAGTGATAATATAAAACAATCTGAAACATAGAATACGCAAAACCTGAAATCGTACCATGCTTTATAACGAAGAGCTTAAAAGCGGTAAGTCTCTCGCCCTCTTTCTCCCGCTGTTTCCGCCACTTCACCTGTTCAATCGATGACATACGCCGAAGTCCGTGAAGCACGATACGCCGTTCGATGTCCCAACGGGTTTCAGCGTCGTCTGCTTGCTGATTTTGCTAAGTTCCACCCAAAAACGGTCCAGACTCATCGCGTCAACCAGCCAATCGCACAACTCTCGAATAATCCCCTCCGCATCGCGAGACAGGAAATCGTAGGATTGTCCCAGAAGCTTGGCTCATCTACTGAGCGTGTTCTTTTCCTTCAAGCGGATTCCGATTCTATTCGTACCTCTGACCGGATTCTCTTTTGTAGATGTGAATTTTATTCTGTGAGGTGGATTTTATTGCGTGAGGCGGATTTTATCCGTATTTTGCCGAGGATCTTCCCGATGGCGGTCGTGGCGGCGGCAGTGACAGCGCGGTCCCCGTCACCCGCGTCGGCATCAGGCGCTTCGGCGGGATGGCTGTGGCCGTTGATTGGCACGGCGGCGTCGATCGCCTTCGCCTCCGCCTTCTCGCTCACTCTCCGCATCCTGCGGGGACTCTCCGCGTCGCGCACCGCCGCGCTACAGCCTCCGCAGGTACGCGGTTAGCCCGCGCGACAGCCCCGGCAGGCACTACCTCTGAGGCTCCTCAAGCGCGGCGCTGCCTTGCGCGTGACCCTTTAGTCCGGAAGTCGATCGACTCACTTGGTTGATTCTAATTCTTTCAAAATCCACGGGGGCATGAACTCAACTTCACCACCCCTTGCGAGTTCTGAGATCTCTCAAAAGTTTGAGACGTCTCAAAGTCAACTCAACCTGGTGCTATCGGGAATGATTGGCCAGAGGGGGATTCATTTCATTCCACTGCTTCTTCTCTCCTCCCTCCCTCCTTTTACTCGCGAATTCCCTCCAGGCCATCCTTGTGCTGGGAGGGAATCGCTATAGGGAACGATTGGCGGGGAGATTCGCTGCCTTGCTGGCTAGCCCTTCGACCGGGAGTTTAAGCTGTATCAGCAGCAGCAGCAGCAGCGACGGCCGCAACACAGGGGTGACTCAGGATAAAAGCACCGGCAGAAGAGATATTGCTAGCAGCAACGGCAGCGGCAGCAGCAGTGGTGATGCTGGTAGCAGTGCTGCTGCTGCATGCCTTGCGTTTGATCCCATCTTCACCTCTTCTCCCAAGCCTCTAGCCAACGGCACGCTCGACCTCCTCCCTCCCGCTCACGCCGCAGCCTCCGGGAAGCTTCCGGTGTTCATCTCGTCGGGGAACGACGACGCTGCTGACGTCATGATGCGGGAGGGAGTGGCTGCCGGCCGGTTACGGGTGGATAACCACGCGCTGGACACGGTTACCAACTTCACGGAAATGTTACGGACGTTTCAACGGCTGAAAATCACGCATGTGCTGGTGGTTACGTCGGATTATCACATGCCGCGCGCGGCTATGATGGCCAAGATTGTGCTTCAAACGCATGGGATCGCGTTCTCTACAGTCACGCTTCCGAGTAGACCAGAAATATGCAAGAAAGGTAAGGCAGGCGCAGCAGTTGTTAAGGATGGGGTGAGTGGCATAAGTGGTGCTGGTACAGGGGTTAAGGGAGGAGGGGAGGAGGAAGAGGAGGTTGAAGAGGAGGTGATTGAAGAAATCGAAGAGGAATCAAAGTTGAGGTTGGAGAGGGACAGATTGCGAGGATTTTTCTGGTTGGTTACTGGCTGGCACGGCGCAGAGTTTCTGAGGTTCACTCGCCCAGAGCGATACAGGTTGCACAAGCAAAAACCTCTTGTCGTGTGCCCGGTATAAAGGAACAGCTATGAGGGGAGGGGATCGCTGTGGTTGGTAACTGGGTGGCATGGCCCGGAGTTTTTTAGGTTCACTCGTCCGGAGTGACACAGGTTACACAAGCAAAAGCCTCTTACTGTATGCCTGGCCGGTGTCAAGATAGCAGAAGTGAATGTAGGGAAGTTTAGAATGACTTAGAAGGACTTGTTCCGTACGAGTGTACCACCCGTCAGTATGTAGCTTCTTATTGTACAGTGGTGTGGATGTGTTCTTGTATTATCTCCTAGCACAAATAACCCATGAATCCATAGCGAGGTTGTCTTGTCTAACTACACCATTTGTGCCGTCTAAATTGCAATGCTTACCCTATTGGAGATTGAAACGCCTGATTTACTTTGCTCAATATCTCAGAAAGCCGAAGCACCCCGGTATGTCTGTATCGGGGATTGGATGTCTCCTTGACTAGCCAGAAGGGGCGACGCGATGCGATGTCCTCCGTCGTGCAGATCCAGGAACTGTAGCAGAGTGGCAGGATACCGTTCTACTCTAGCAGCATATCGTGTCAAGCTAGTAGCGCGTATCGCACCATGGCACTCTTTAGATGTCTCCGTGTTTCACGCAGGTAGGCTAGTTTCGCATAATCGGATACTGCGACCGGCCTTTTTGTTTTGTGGCTGGTGTTCGTTTGCAAGAATCATCGCTACGCGCCTGCTTCGTAACCAGACACACGGCATTTCGCCGCCTGAGTTTTTCCTCGTTGTAGACTTCCCACTCTATCGTAGCAGCCTTTTCTTCTTTGAATCAAGTTATGATTCATTATGTCTTCCTCGCGTGCGTGCTGGTCGTTTCGTCTCCGCAATTCGCGGCGGCGCGCACCACGGCATCAGCCGTGGCGATGGGTGACGTGGCAGAAGAGACAAAACGCGCTGCCCTAACCGTTCCACGCCACGTGTCAGCCGAACCCGTGGCCACCGCGCCGGGCCAGGCTCCGGAATTCTCGCTGATGCGATCCGACGTGGCGGCCAACGCGTCGTTTGCGTACGCCGCAATCCTGTACATGGGCACGCCACGTGACTACGAGTATTACGTGGCGACACGTGTCATGCTGCAGACCGTCCGACGCACGGGGACCGTCGCGGATCTCGTCGTGCTGGCATCGGAAGACGTCCCTGCCACGTGGACCAATACGCTGTGAGCGAACCCCCATCGTTCATTAGACTTTAACCTGGAAAATGTGATGCACGGAGTAAAGTAAATCAGATCGAATCTCGTCATGAATCAGTAGAAGCATCGCTCCCCTCTTCCTCTCCCCCGCCTCCCCCTCTGCCAGCAAGAAGGAGGGCGTGCGGGTGGTGCGGGTGAGCAACATCCCCAACCCTTACCGGGGCAGTGCTGCCTTCAACCCGCGCTTCCCCTTCGCTCTCAACAAGCTGCTCGCGTGGCGACTAAGAGAGTACAAGCGAGTCGTGCTGCTGGACGCTGATAACATCGTCATGAAGAACGTGGATGAGCTGTTTCAATGCGGCAGCATGTGCGCCGTGTTCATAGACCCATGCACCTTCCACACCGGGCTGGTTGTCCTGAAGGTGAGTGTGTTGACTGATGGGGCTGGAGGGAGTACAATACAAGCGCGTGGTTCTACTTGACGCGGATAGCCTGGTGATGAAGAACGTGGACGAGTTGTTTCAATGCGGCAGCATGTGCGCTGTCTTTATTGACCCGTGTAGCCTTCCACACCGGGCTCATTGTGCTTAAGGTGAGTCACCTTACGTCCGACGACTGCGACGGAGGAGGAGGGCGATTGCGCACCGACTGCGACGGTTGCTGTGATAGAGCTCTCGTTGTCGTAGGAGGAGGAGGACGACGATGTGGTGGAGTTTTTTTGGAGGCGGAGCCGTATTTGTCTAGCCACGTTTTTGAGTCTGTCGAGGACGTGTGCAACGGATGCTTCTCTGGAAGGTATTAGCAGCCTGAAGGTACTTCAATCACTTTATCTTAGTGAGACAAAAATGACCGACGCAGGAATAGCGAAGCTGCGAGGGTTGACCGCACTCTTGTCTCTGGCCTTAAGTGCTTGTGGGTCGATCACCTCCGCCAGCATGGTGCACGTGGGCCAACTGACAGTATTGGAGGCACTCTGGCTGGATGCCAGCCCACTGCGGGAGAACGGGCTGAAGCACCTGATTGCCCTCACCTCCCTTGAGGTCCTCTCCTTGCCGTCACGTGTGAGCGATTCCACTATGAAGCTTCTGAGGAACATGAAACTCTTGAAAAAGCTCGAGCTGTGGCATTCTAGAATCACTGCTGACAGCATCAAATGGCTCAATGGGCTCAGAGCCTCCAAGTGATTGCAACGACAAACAAGGATGTAGGAGGCTGGATCAGGGACAACTTTCGAGAAACTCCAACCCTCAAGCTCTCAAGCTCCAACCAGCTTCCCGAAAGTTGTCCCTAATCCAGCCTTCTACATTCTTGCTTGTCGTTGCAATCAGCTGGAGGCTCTTGAGCCCATTGAGTCATTTGACGCCGTCTGCAGTGATTCTAGAATGCCACAGCCGGAGCTTTTTCAGGCGTTTCATGTTCCTCAAGAGCTTCATAGTGGAATCGCTCACACCCGACGGCAAGGAGAGGACCCCAAGGGAGGTGAGGGCAGTCAGGTGCTTCAGCCCGTCCTCCCGCAGTGGGCTGGCATCCAGGCAGAGTGCCTCCAATGCTGTCAGTTGGCCCACATGCACCATGCTCGCGGAGGTGATCGACCCACAAGCATTTAAGGCCAAAGACAAGAGTGCGGTCAACCCTCGCAGCTTCGCTATTCCTGCGTCGATCATTTTTGTCTCACTAAGATAAAGTGATTGAAGTACCTTCAGGCTGCTAATACCTTCCAGAGAAGCGTCCGTTGCACACGCCCTCCTCCTCCACCTCATCGGCACCTGAGAGAGTATGAGTGTGTCGTGCTGCTGGACTGCGATAACTTGGTCTGAAGACAGTTCATGGATGAGCTGTTCCTCTATGGAAGTGTGTGCGCTCTCTCATAGACCCATGCACCTTTCATACGGGCCTGGTTGTTTTCAAGGATGCACCCTCCCTCTATTGACGGTTCACCAGGCCCCCACTTCATGCTTTTCGCCTTCCACCCTCCTTATCTTCCCCACAGCTCCCTTGCCCCCCCCCCCCCCCCCCCCCCTCAGCCGTCAGTGAAGGTGTTTAAAGACATGATGCAGCAGCTGCGTTCTCTCCCGTCACACGCCCTTCTTTCCTACCCTTCCCTCCCCTCCCTCCTAACACCCCCGCCCTCCCTCCCCCCAGCCGTCAGTGAAGGTGTTGAAGGACATGATGCAGCAGCTGCGCTCCCTCCCGTCACACGATGCAGCGGACCAGGGCTTCCTCAACCGCTACTTCCCCACGCTGCTCGCCTCCACGCTCTTTGTGCCGCCTGCTGATGGCTTGCTAGCCCCCCGTTCGTGCCTTCCCCCTTCACCCTCATTCTCTGCCCCACATCCCTCTTCCCTCCCCTCTTCCGTCCCTTTCTTCCCATCCCCAGCCATCGGTGAAGGTGTTTAAGGACATGATGCAGCAGCTGCGCTCTCTCCCGTCACACGATGCAGCGGACCAGGGCTTCCTCAACCGCTACTTCCCCACGCTGCTCGCCTCTCCGCTCTTCGTGCCTCCCACCGATGGCTCGGCGCTCAAAGGGCAGTTCAGGCTGCCCATGGGGTACCAGATGGACGCTATCTTCTACAGTGAGTTTCTCGTTACTAGCACATTCTGTTATGCAAGAGAAAAAGTTGTTTCCCGCTCTGCTCTGCTCGCCTCCCCCCTCTTTGTGCCTCCCACCGATGGCTCGGCACTCAAAGGACAGTTCAGGCTGCCCATGGGGTATCAGATGGACGCCATCTTCTACAGTAAGTGTACTGGAGCACATCTCGTTACAGTCACATGGGCAAGGAAAACAATGCTCACAACAAACACCTCAAGTAATCACATCTTCTCCTCACCCTCTCCCTCCCACCAACACCCTCACCTCCCATCCCCCTCCCCTCTCCCCCCCGTCATTCCTCGCTTCCAGATCTCGAGTTAAAGTAAGAAGCACCTTGCTCCTCCAACACCTTTTGAAGCGCTTCAACAGACCTACCTCTCCCCCTCACCCTCCTCCCCTCCCCTCCTCCTTCCCAGTGATCCTCGCTTCCAGATCTCAAGCTCGAGCGGCAAGTGCCTTCCTCCAACACCTTCTGAATCCCCTCAACAAACTTAGCTTTCCTCCTAACCCTCCTCCCTCAAATTCCTCCCCTTCCCCTCTTTCGTAGGGATTAACCTCCCTCTCCCCGTCACCATCCGCCCCCATCCAGATTTGAAGTCATCGCCCACTCCTCCCTCTTCCCTGCCTGCCTCTCCTCCCAACTCTCCTCCTCCACTTCCATCCCTCTTCCCTACTACCCGTCTCTTGTCCTTACTCACCTCTCACCTCTCACCTGTCCCCTTCTACCCACTCCCCCACTTTCTTTCACTCCAGATCTCAAGTTCAAGTGGGAGGTGCCTTGCTCCGACAACAAGGTCATCACCTTCCCCATTACCTGCCTCTCTCCCTTACCCTTTTCACCCTTCTCCCCTCTTTCCCCGCTCCTTATCCACTCCAGATCTCAAGTTCAAGCAGGAGGTGCCTTGCTCCGATCCGACAACAAGGTCACCACCTTGACAACCTACCTCTCCCTCTCACCCTTCCCCCCACCTCTCCCCTCCCATTCCGTCCCTTGCCTCCAGATCTCAAGTTCAGGTGGGAGGTGCCTTGCTCCGACAACAAGATCATCACCTTCCCCGGAATCGCGCACTTAAAGCCCTGGTTCTGGTGGTCCTACCCGCTCCTCGCCCTCTCCCTGCAATGGCACTCCTGGCGCCTCTCCACCATCGCCTACTCCTCCCACCTCTCCCACCTCCCGGCCTGCCTCCCCTCCCACCTCCCCAATTTTTTCCCTCTTCCCCACTACCCACCACCTCCCCAACCTCTGCGCCTTCCCCTTCCCCTACCCTTCCCTTGCCTCCAGATCTCAAGTTCAAGTGGGAGGTGCCTTGCTCCGACAACAAAATCATCACCTTCCCCGGGATCGCGCACTTAAAGCCCTGGTTCTGGTGGTCCTACCCTCTCCTCGCCCTCTCCCTGCACTGGCACTCCTGGCGCCTCTCCACCATTGGCTACTCCTCCCACCTCCCCGCCTGCCTCTCAGCCGGCGTCTTTTGGCTCGTAGTGCTCGCGCTCAGCCACGTCATCGCCCGGGCGGCAGCCGACCCATCCTCGATCCTCTACCGCCTCACCCGTGGATACAGACACGTCGGCGCCGCCCCTGTTGTCTCAGGGATTGGGGGGAGCGCAGCGGGAGGGGGAGCGGGAGGAGGAGGAGGGGGAGTCGGGTCCACTTCTCCTTATTCTCGCCTAGGAGCGTTGGGGACAGGGTTGGGAACGCCAGGAGGGGGGTCGAATGGGGGTGTAGGTGGAGGGGGGGCAACGACAGGCGCAGGAGCAGCTGCAGCTGCTGCTGCTGCTGGGGGAGTATCAGGTCTCCTCTCCTACCTCTCTCCTCGCTTCCTCCTCACACTCGGCCTCACGGTTCTCTCCGCATTCGTCTCCTTCTGGCTCGTGCCGACCACAGTACACCCGTTTCTCGGCTGGTTGCTCTTCACGTTCGGCACCTTTTCCGGACTGTCGCTAGTTAAAGCCCTGGTCGGCGCCACAGCAGCGATTTTCTGGCTGCTACAGTACCTGGTGGTGGCGCTTATCGTCTTGGGATTGCCGGTTTACTCTGCTTTGGCATTTAAACTGTGTGCGATGCACCTGCTTGCGTTTGGAGCAGGAGCGGTGCTGGTGGTGCAGGTGCAAGCGCTGCAGTTTGGGTTTCTCACTGGTGCTGGTTTGGCCCCAAGGCCTACTAGCTCGTCAGGAGGCCGCTCCCTTTTGGATTAGAAAAGTGGTAGGGTAAAAGTGTTTCATTACAAATTGTTGCGGCAAATACTGAATCAGTGAATCCTACCTGATTTTGAGAATTAGGTGCACCAATGCGCTTCTGATGTCTTACCTAGATAGAACAATGTTATCTTGAGGTGGGTGATTTGGTTGCCATCGTTTAGTCATCATATATCATGTCCCTTTTGGAGGGGATGAGAATGAATCATGACATATGCTGACCACGGAAAACAGCTCCGGTATAACTAAACGGGTAAAAAAATTCTTGTCGCGTCCGACGAGACCCTCCCTGACACACTGAAATTCTGGCGGGAAATTGAAACGACCGTTTGAAATTGCTTCAATCAGACGGCGTCAGTATGAGTTCTGACTCCACACATCGGCAGGTTTAGGAGAAAATAGTAGAGGCCGAAGAGAAAACAGCCACTGTATCTAGATTTTATATTGTTCAATTCCCAAGGTTAGCTGAGCAGGAGCATCTAGAAGCTGGGCCAAGCATCGTCTCGGTTTTTGGTCTTAGAGCATCAGCATCAGAAGTCTTAGTCGCTCGTTGACAATACAGTAGACTTGAGAGAAAGTCTGAGACGTCTTAGAGCCACTTTTATTGGATAATACAAGATCCCTCTTTCCACGTTGCTTCCGTTTCGAAGCACGGAAATTGAAAGGCTATCATCGTTTTGAACCAAGAAGAGAAAGGGAAGCTTCCACGAGGATTCTGACAGTATCTAGACCTAAAATAAGGTTGTTTCGTAAGGCGATTGTTAGGAAAGGCCGCAGATGAAGCAGATTGGAAGCGTCGTGCCGTTACCAAAAAGCCTACTAGGGAGCTCCTGGTTCCCAGACCACCTAAGAAAAGCGTCTTGGATCAGTACCCTCGGAAACTCCTCTCAAACCACCCTGATTGGTGGAAAAAATAGCCTGCTAGTGACTCCCTTGTCTCCGGGTCACCTAAGAAAAGCGTCTTGGATCAGTCCCTTCAGAAATGCCTCTCGAACCACCCTGATTGGTGGAAACACAAGCCGCGTTTCCGCGCACCTGCGCGATGGCAGTGATGGCGCAGGCGAGAACGGAAGGACAGGCGGAAGGCGGAAGCCGGTTGGCGCAAGGACAGGTCGCATTGGCGGAAGGTCGACTGGCGGAAGGGCGACCGGGGGAAGGGTCATGGGCGCAAGGGGGGACGCTTTGACGGTGGAGTTTGGGGAAGGGCGGAGTGTTGTGCTGGAGGGGGGAAGGCGATTGGCGGAGGTGGGGACGTGGGGAATCGGCGGTCCTGCTGAGTGGCTGGCGGAGGTGACGACCGTTGATGAGATGGCGGCGGTGCTTAGGTAAGTGCTTGTGGTAAGGCGCTCGACTTTCAATCAGGGTGGTTGCTTGACTTGAACAGGTCAGTGACAGGAAGTGGGGAGGACGTGGGGAATCGGCGGGCCTGCGGATTGGCTGGCGGAGGTGACGACAGTTGATGAGATGGCGGCGGTGCTTAGGTAAGTGCTGGTTTCACTTTGAGAATTGTCAAAAGCGGATTGGCTGGCGGAGGTGACAACAGCTGATGAGATGACGGCGGCGCTTAAGTAAGTGCTTGTGGGAGAGCTCTCAAGTTTGATCAGGGTCTCCAACTACCTGTTCGTTTACGGTCAGAGTGCCCCGTAATGTTTCCTGCACCCTTTCCCTGTGGACTCAGGTTCTGCCTCAGAAACAGCAAAGCTATTTGCGCGGTAGTGACAGGCGAGGGCGCCAACTGCCTGTTTCTCAGTCAGGACTTCCCCCCACACATTCGCGCACTGTGTTCCTGTGCCTCCTCCCCTTCCACCATCAAGCGCAGGTTCTGCCACAGCAACGCCATCCGCGCGCTGGTGATAGGCAAGGGCTCCAAGTGCCTGTTTGTTAGTCGAGGCTCTATCTCTTTCCTGTACCCCTTCCCTTCCCTCCGTTGTCTCTCAGGTTCTGCCACAGCAACGCCATCCGCGCGCTGGTGATAGGCAAGGGCTCCAACTGCCTGTTTGTTAGTCGAGGCTCTATCTCTTTCCTGTACCCCTTCCCTTCCCTCCGTTGTCTCTCAGGTTCTGCCACAGCAACGCCATCCGCGCGCTGGTGATAGGCAAGGGCTCCAACTGCCTGTTTGTTAGTCGAGGCTCTATCTCTTTCCTGTACCCCTTCCCTTCCCTCCGTTGTCTCTCAGGTTCTGCCACAGCAACGCCATCCGCGCGCTGGTGATAGGCAAGGGCTCCAAGTGCCTGTTTGTCAGTCGAGGCTCTATCTCTTTCCTGTACCCCTTCCCTTCCCTCCGTTGTCTCTCAGGTTCTGCCACAGCAACGCCATCCGCGCGCTGGTGATAGGCAAGGGCTCCAAGTGCCTGTTTGTCAGTCGAGGCTCTATCTCTTTCCTGTACCCCTTCCCTTCCCTCCGTTGTCTCTCAGGTTCTGCCACAGCAACGCCATCCGCGCGCTGGTGATAGGCAAGGGCTCCAAGTGCCTGTTTGTCAGTCGAGGCTCTATCTCTTTCCTGTACCCCTTCCCTTCCCTCCGTTGTCTCTCAGGTTCTGCCACAGCAACGCCATCCGCGCGCTGGTGATAGGCAAGGGCTCCAACTGCCTGTTTGATAGTCGAGGCTCTATCTCTTTCCTGTACCCCTTCCCTTCCCTCCGTTGTCTCTCAGGTTCTGCCACAGCAACGCCATCCGCGCGCTGGTGATAGGCAAGGGCTCCAACTGCCTGTTTGTTAGTCGAGGCTCTATCTCTTTCCTGTACCCCTTCCCTTCCCTCCGTTGTCTCTCAGGTTCTGCCACAGCAACGCCATCCGCGCGCTGGTGATAGGCAAGGGCTCCAAGTGCCTGTTTGTCAGTCGAGGCTCTATCTCTTTCCTGTACCCCTTCCCTTCCCTCCGTTGTCTCTCAGGTTCTGCCACAGCAACGCCATCCGCGCGCTGGTGATAGGCAAGGGCTCCAAGTGCCTGTTTGTCAGTCGAGGCTCTATCTCTTTCCTGTACCCCTTCCCTTCCCTCCGTTGTCTCTCAGGTTCTGCCACAGCAACGCCATCCGCGCGCTGGTGATAGGCAAGGGCTCCAAGTGCCTGTTTGTCAGTCGAGGCTCTATCTCTTTCCTGTACCCCTTCCCTTCCCTCCGTTGTCTCTCAGGTTCTGCCACAGCAACGCCATCCGCGCGCTGGTGATAGGCAAGGGCTCCAACTGCCTGTTTGTTAGTCGAGGCTCTATCTCTTTCCTGTACCCCTTCCCTTCCCTCCGTTGTCTCTCAGGTTCTGCCACAGCAACGCCATCCGCGCGCTGGTGATAGGCAAGGGCTCCAAGTGCCTGTTTGTTAGTCGAGGCTCTATCTCTTTCCTGTACCCCTTCCCTTCCCTCCGTTGTCTCTCAGGTTCTGCCACAGCAACGCCATCCGCGCGCTGGTGATAGGCAAGGGCTCCAACTGCCTGTTTGTTAGTCGAGGCTCTATCTCTTTCCTGTACCCCTTCCCTTCCCTCCGTTGTCTCTCAGGTTCTGCCACAGCAACACCATCCGCGCGCTGGTGATAGGCAAGGGCTCCAAGTGCCTGTTTGTCAGTCGAGGCTCTATCTCTTTCCTGTACCCCTTCCCTTCCCTCCGTTGTCTCTCAGGTTCTGCCACAGCAACGCCATCCGCGCGCTGGTGATAGGCAAGGGCTCCAAGTGCCTGTTCGTCAGTCGAGGCTCTATCTCTTTCCTGTACCCCTTCCCTTCCCTCCGTTGTCTCTCAGGTTCTGCCACAGCAACGCCATCCGCGCGCTGGTGATAGGCAAGGGCTCCAAGTGCCTGTTTGTCAGTCGAGGCTCTATCTCTTTCCTGTACCCCTTCCCTTCCCTCTGTTGTCTCTCAGGTTCTGCCACAGCAACGCCATCCGCGCGCTGGTGATAGGCAAGGGCTCCAAGTGCCTGTTTGTCAGTCGAGGCTCTATCTCTTTCCTGTACCCCTTCCCTTCCCTCCGTTGTCTCTCAGGTTCTGCCACAGCAACGCCATCCGCGCGCTGGTGATAGGCAAGGGCTCCAACTGCCTGTTTGTTAGTCGAGGCTCTATCTCTTTCCTGTACCCCTTCCCTTCCCTCCGTTGTCTCTCAGGTTCTGCCACAGCAACGCCATCCGCGCGCTGGTGATAGGCAAGGGCTCCAAGTGCCTGTTTGTCAGTCGAGGCTCTATCTCTTTCCTGTACCCCTTCCCTTCCCTCCGTTGTCTCTCAGGTTCTGCCACAGCAACGCCATCCGCGCGCTGGTGATAGGCAAGGGCTCCAAGTGCCTGTTTGTCAGTCGAGGCTCTATCTCTTTCCTGTACCCCTTCCCTTCCCTCCGTTGTCTCTCAGGTTCTGCCACAGCAACGCCATCCGCGCGCTGGTGATAGGCAAGGGCTCCAAGTGCCTGTTTGTCAGTCGAGGCTCTATCTCTTTCCTGTACCCCTTCCCTTCCCTCCGTTGTCTCTCAGGTTCTGCCACAGCAACGCCATCCGCGCGCTGGTGATAGGCAAGGGCTCCAAGTGCCTGTTTGTTAGTCGAGGCTCTATCTCTTTCCTGTACCCCTTCCCTTCCCTCCGTTGTCTCTCAGGTTCTGCCACAGCAACACCATCCGCGCGCTGGTGATAGGCAAGGGCTCCAAGTGCCTGTTTGTCAGTCGAGGCTCTATCTCTTTCCTGTACCCCTTCCCTTCCCTCCGTTGTCTCTCAGGTTCTGCCACAGCAACGCCATCCGCGCGCTGGTGATAGGCAAGGGCTCCAAGTGCCTGTTCGTCAGTCGAGGCTCTATCTCTTTCCTGTACCCCTTCCCTTCCCTCCGTTGTCTCTCAGGTTCTGCCACAGCAACGCCATCCGCGCGCTGGTGATAGGCAAGGGCTCCAAGTGCCTGTTTGTCAGTCGAGGCTCTATCTCTTTCCTGTACCCCTTCCCTTCCCTCTGTTGTCTCTCAGGTTCTGCCACAGCAACGCCATCCGCGCGCTGGTGATAGGCAAGGGCTCCAAGTGCCTGTTTGTCAGTCGAGGCTCTATCTCTTTCCTGTACCCCTTCCCTTCCCTCCGTTGTCTCTCAGGTTCTGCCACAGCAACGCCATCCGCGCGCTGGTGATAGGCAAGGGCTCCAACTGCCTGTTTGTTAGTCGAGGCTCTATCTCTTTCCTGTACCCCTTCCCTTCCCTCCGTTGTCTCTCAGGTTCTGCCACAGCAACGCCATCCGCGCGCTGGTGATAGGCAAGGGCTCCAAGTGCCTGTTTGTCAGTCGAGGCTCTATCCCTTTCCTGTACCCCTTCCCTTCCCTCCGTTGTCTCTCAGGTTCTGCCACAGCAACGCCATCCGCGCGCTGGTGATAGGCAAGGGCTCCAAGTGCCTGTTTGTTAGTCGAGGCTCTATCTCTTTCCTGTACCCCTTCCCTTCCCTCCGTTGTCTCTCAGGTTCTGCCACAGCAACGCCATCCGCGTGCTGGTGATAGGCAAGGGCTCCAAGTGCCTGTTTGTCAGTCGAGGCTCTATCTCTTTCCTGTACCCCTTCCCTTCCCTCCATTGTCTCTCAGGTTCTGCCACAGCAACGCCATCCGCGCGCTGGTGATAGGCAAGGGCTCCAACTGCCTGTTTGTCAGTCGAGGCTCTATCTCTTTCCTGTACCCCTTCCCTTCCCTCCGTTGTCTCTCAGGTTCTGCCACAGCAACGCCATCCGCGCGCTGGTGATAGGCAAGGGCTCCAAGTGCCTGTTTGTCAGTCGAGGCTCTATCTCTTTCCTGTACCCCTTCCCTTCCCTCCGTTGTCTCTCAGGTTCTGCCACAGCAACGCCATCCGCGCGCTGGTGATAGGCAAGGGCTCCAACTGCCTGTTTGTCAGTCGAGGCTCTATCTCTTTCCTGTACCCCTTCCCTTCCCTCCGTTGTCTCTCAGGTTCTGCCACAGCAACGCCATCCGCGCGCTGGTGATAGGCAAGGGCTCCAACTGCCTGTTTGTTAGTCGAGGCTCTATCTCTTTCCTGTACCCCTTCCCTTCCCTCCGTTGTCTCTCAGGTTCTGCCACAGCAACGCCATCCGCGCGCTGGTGATAGGCAAGGGCTCCAACTGCCTGTTTGTTAGTCGAGGCTCTATCTCTTTCCTGTACCCCTTCCCTTCCCTCCGTTGTCTCTCAGGTTCTGCCACAGCAACGCCATCCGTGCGCTGGTGATAGGCAAGGGCTCCAAGTGCCTGTTTGTCAGTCGAGGCTCTATCTCTTTCCTGTACCCCTTCCCTTCCCTCCGTTGTCTCTCAGGTTCTGCCACAGCAACGCCATCCGCGCGCTGGTGATAGGCAAGGGCTCCAAGTGACTGTTTGTCAGTCGAGGCTCTATCTCTTTCCTGTACCCCTTCCCTTCC